AATGTTTATGAAAATTAATAAAATATAATTATAGAAAAAAAGAAGAGACCAAAAACTTAGTCAATCATATGAAGAGAAGTGTTTTTTAAAAGTAAGTTAAAATTGGTCATATTAATTACTAAAAAAAAAATACCTAAAACTGTTGAATATAAAACTAATCTGTTCTTAAAAAAGAGAAACAAACCCATTTGTTCTGTAAAGTTTCATACATCACAATTTTTAAAAGTATAGCTTAAAATAACACATTCACTGAAAGTATCTCTTAGTTATTACATTCCAGCTTCTCTAATGGCCTAGTCTACAGGGAGTTGTGTTGCTAACTTAATGGCCATACCTTCCTGACAGTTCGACAGCAGCCACAAAGGAGAAAGGGGTCATTTTCTCCCATGCAATTCACGGCCTTGGAAATTCACCAGAGAGTCAGCTATAAATTGCTATGGTAATTCGGTTGAGTCTAAACATTTTAACAGGTATTTTCTCAACAAACCTACCAATCGTCTAAAGTAGGCATTTATATTATTGGTATAGAAAATCTATAAAAAGGGGTTAGATGGTAACTTGAAAATTGTACAGTAAGTGGTAGAACTGTCTACTATCTATTTGTTTGCTAAGTTAATTTATTGAGCCATAGTCCACACTGAAGGAGCACATACAAAAGTATGTCTTAGTTGTCTTCAGGTAACTTAATGCTGCAGTGCAGACATGACATTTATTTATGTGCTTTCAAGGTTCAAACTCAAATAACAGACCAAGGTCTAGAATGAGTTGGCGATTTTAGGGTATTCTAAAGCAACTACCTAGGGCTACACAGGTGTAGAAAATGCAGACTCATGGCTTAAGAGGTCTAGAAACAAGTATCTGGAATGTCAGCCAAAGGAGTTTCGATGGGAGTTCTAAATTTAATTTTTATAGGCAAAATCAAGTGGAATATCTTAGCATAAACTTAAGGCTGACTTAAGTGGCACAAAGGCATAAAAAATACGAAGACTTCCAAAGTCATAACATCAGAACAATTAACAAGTCAGAGATATGATGAAGACAGCAAAAGCCAGAGAGCAGCTAAAATGCAGTAACTGACTTAGTAAAGTATTATGTACGAAAAGTCTAGAACAAGCATTTAAACCAAAGTAAATCAGTGCTTACCATGCCCTGAGGAGAGCCAGAACAGATTACAGATGGGGTCAAAGAGTTGCTATTAAGAGTGATGAAAATAATTTAAACAAATAAACAAACAACAAAAAACGAACAGTGTTGAGGGTTGCACAATATGATGAATGAGTGTCACCGAACAAAAAACACTCAAACTTGCAAGTGGTAAATGTTTTTATACTTATTATACAATAAAATTTTTTCAACTAAAATAAATCAAGAAGCGATAAAATAAGCATAATAACTAGAAACAGAGGAAAAAATTTTTTAAAGGCCAGTTATTGAAAGCAATTATAAAGAGAATGAAAATGGACAGGGACTGTTAGTTTTCATTAAAAAGTCCTTAAACTGTCCCTTCTGCCTTTTAAAAATAGATACTGTTGTAGTGCTGCCCAGTGGATTCCAACTGCTGGCAAACCCACAGAACACAGAACAGACTTGCCCACGTGGTCTCCTAGGTTGAAGTCTTTAACACAAGTAGATTACCAGGTCTTTTCTCACTCAGAGCAGCTGATGAGTTCAAACCTTTGACCTTTCAATTCATAGTTAAGAGCTTAACCATTTCACTACCAGCATTCTTTCGTATATAGTATTACTATGACTGAAATAAAACTTTTTTAAAGAAACCATCCACACAGAAGTAAAATATACGCCCATGAATGCATCCCAATTCTGATTTCTGGTTTCACATTTATAACAGGTATAAAGTTTTTTCTTTAAAAAACCACTTTAAATTTTTCAAATTATTTTTTTAAATTAGAAAACTTATAAAGGTTGCTCTATATCCTGAGCCAATATCACTTTTACTCTTCATAAGCTTATTAAGAGTAACTTAACGTTTAACACCAGCTATCCAGAAGCAAAAGCACCTTTGTACTGGGTTTCCTACATCTTCTGTGGAGACCAAATTACCACAGATCAAAGTGAGATCATTTTCAGCGACTATTTTCAAAGATTATATCAAATAATGTCAATTCTAGGTTTTATTTCAAAGTAATAATTTAAACCTACAGGTCATAATGTTGATTCCACTTTGGATCGAGTGTGTTCTTCACAGTGTCTGTAGAATGGCACTGCCCAGATCCATCAACCACCACCTTAGCAAATGGATCAGGAAGTCCTGTGAAAAGGGGAAGATTCTTTTAAATTATATTTTCACATCTAAGATAGAAGATTTATGGTTATAAATATTATCATGCTCTCTAGAACAATAAAAAGGCAATTCTATAATTTTAAAAAGGAAAAGTTTGACACTACTTCAAATGAAAAGTGGACTCCTCTCAGGAGGAAATACTTCATCATGTTCTGATTGTATTTTCTAAACAAACATATATATGCTTGTTTGTAAGCAAAAATAAATAAAAGCACATTTCCAGTTCTCCCTCTGGGGATCGTTTAACTAATAAACAGTTAAGAATGAAGAAAAACAACATTTTTTAAGGTATATTTTGTAGTTTCAAAATTTCTCAAGTTTGCCATCATTTCAGAGAAAATTGCCTAAATCAAGAACCACTCTACTACACAGCTGCATTTGGTGGCCTCCAGATGAATATAAAACAAACATTTCATTCAATGACACAGAACCTATGAGTTACTCTGCAGCAGAAATAACACTTTAATTTTGAAGAGAAGAGGGAGTGAAATCAACTAACCTAGTTGGGTTCTGAATGACTTCAAGATGGCCCTTATGTAATACTGTAAGTATCTTAAAGATTTTATTGAAATGTTACATAAATTAAAGGGAAAAGGTTACTAATGAAAATATCCTTAAACACCAACAAGGGACAGTGGGCTATGTGATGGAGTCAATGGAAGACTCTAAAGGTGAGTATACATGTGCTCATTTGGAAAACGATGTGCTAAAATCCTGAAAGGGAGCATACCTTGGTTTTAAAAGCCAGAACACTTGAAAATAGTTTTAAAATATGAATTCATATAATTCGACATTAATGCTTGTAACCTTGAAATAAATAGTATTATCACATATATAAAAGATACACATGACAATGGATTTTTCTCTAAGATTTACATTTTGCATCAAACTACAGTCATGCTTCATATGAAAACATACTTATCCCACTTAACATAATTTAAAGTAAAGAACAAAACTATATTTTACTACTCAGTGACAAAATAACTATACTCTGATCAATAAACACAGCCATTCTCAAATTATTTTTATTTGGGAACTATTATTTTATGTTGTTCTTTCTGATACTGATGTAGACAATTCTCAATTTATTAAAAGTAAAAAAAAAATCCCTAAGTAGTTGTCTAAATCTAGCACAAAGGGGATTTGGACCTTGGCCAGAGTGAACATGGGGCACACATCCAACCTTCTGAAGGCTGAGCGACTAGCTTTCTCATTTCCTTTTTCAGATCCATCAAGTGGTTTCTTTCATTCTGAGTTTTAATAATTCAGTATTTTCTAATTTTCTTAGTTGTAAAACAAACTCAAAATTCGTAAGATTTGCCCATTTTTAATGCCTAGATCAGTGAATCGCCTCTTCCCTGTCACTCTGTCCTATGTGGTGGGTTTGCACATTACTGTTATGCTGGAAATTAAACCATCAGTACTTCAAATTCCAGCAAGTTCGCTCATGAAGAACTGGTTTCAGCAGAGCTTCCAGATAAAACAGACTAGAAGTAGGCCTGGTCATCCACTTCTGAAACAATGGGCCCTTGAAAACTCTATGAATAGCAGTAATCACTATCTCATACAGTGTTGGAAAATGAGGCTCTCAGGTTGGAAGGTACTCAAAATTCAACTGGCAGTGTTGCCTCCTCAAACTAAAGTCTACTTTAAAGACTTGGAGTAAAACTTAAGACCAAAGAATGACTTTCATTTGTGGATACAGCACAACTCAAAATGAAGAAAAATAGCTCAAAATACTCATTAATAACTGGAATAAGAAATACACAAAGTATAAATTTAGGGGGGGAAGGAAGCTATCAAAAGCGATCAGTATCTTAGTCATTCAGGAGCCGAAAGGGACTAATTTTGGTCATTTTAAATCAGAAAATCCTATGATCACCTATATCCAGAATGACAAATTGAGAGGAAGAATGTTGCATTCATTGTCAAAAAGAGTATTTCATGATCTGTCCTAAAGTAAATGCGACAATTTCCATATGAATATAAGTAAAACCAATTAATACAATGACAATTCAAATATATACAGCAATAACTAAAGTCAGAGATGAAGAAACTGAGAATTTGAGCCAGCTTTTGCAGTCTGAAATTGACTGAACATGCAATTACAATGTTGTTGTTATGTGTCGTCAAGTCGCCTGCGACTCATAGCGACCCTATGTACAACAGCCCTAAACTCCGCTCTGTCCTGTGCCAATCCCACTGTCTCCGACACTCCCATCCCAATTACCCCAGTCACTGAATCAATCCACCTCATAGAGGGCCTTCCTCTCCTGCGCCGTCTCTCCACCCTCCCAAGCATGATGTCCCTCTCTAAGGACCGGTCTCTCCTCACAACATGTCCAAAGTATGTTAGACGGAGCCTCAGAATTCTTGCCTCCAAGGAGTCACCTGGTTTAACCCTTTCCAGGACAAATAACTAGTGACTAAAATGCCAAAGTTGGAAACAAAAAAGAAGGGTTAGTAGTTAGAAAACACAGCCTTGATGAAAAAAAATGGGGCTGGAAACAAAATTTGTACAATCAATTCCTTGCTAATGTCTTGTAAAAAATATATAAACAGTAATTATACACATGAATCTCATCTGATGAAATACACAGAAATCAAAGTGACTACACTTATGGGAAGAGACAGTGAGCTAGGTTGGCCTGCTGGTAAGAAGGTGAATCCCAAAGACATGTGAGATTTTAATCCTCCAGTTGCTCTGCTGGAGAAGGATGGGCAATCTCCTCCAGTGCAATTAACTGCCTCTGAAAACTCATTGGAAGGTCAGCTATGGGTTGGTTCCAACTCCATGACACACAATAACAAATGGAAAGAATTTATGGAAAACCTGAATAGAACCCATTATTACAAGGCAGGAGCTGAGGTCATAAGAGACTTTGAACCCATAGAACATAGAAAAGAGGAAGAAATGATGAAGTAATAAGAGGGCTCAACAGAAGATTTCAAATAACAGTTCTGAAGACAAAACAAAGCAAGTATTACAAAGAAATGTGCAAAGACTTGGAGTTAGAAAACCACGAGTGAAGACAAAAATGCTCAGCATTTCTCAAACTAGAAGAAATTAAAAAAACATTCACGTCTCAAGTAGCAAGACTGAAAGATTCTGAGGACAAAATATTGTATGATACAGGAAACGTCAAAAGATAATGGAAGGTTTATAGCATACTGTACCAAAAAGCACTGATTGACACTGAACCAGTTCAGTGATCAAAAACCAATGGAAGGAAGCCAGAGCTGCGTAGAAGTCACTGGCAAACAAAAAGTCACTGGCAAAAAAATCCCCAGTCACTGGCTCCTGGATTTGAGGGAATAACAGTTAAGTATGTTTCAACCAACATGTGCAGCTCTGGTCATACTTACCTGCCTATTTAAGGTGTATGGAAATTCCTTGCAAATTGCAAGAAATTCCTTGCAATCTGCAGTTCCTGGAAACTGACTGAAGAGATTTGTATTTGAGCCTTTAAAAAAAACAAAACACCATCTAACAGAATGTGAAAATTATTGAATAATATCCTTAATAATGACATGCAAGTAATATCACATGCAAGTGAAAGATTGCTGACGATTATTTAAAAATAGCTGGAGTGGTATGGTGACAGGAAATTAGCCAGAAATTCAAGTTAAATTCAGAAGAGACTAGAGCAAGGGCTATCACACCCGACATAAGATGCATCTTGGCTGAAAGCACTGAATAGCAGAAATGTTTACTTATGTTTTACTGACTACACAAAGGCATTTGATTGTATAGATCATAATAAATTATGAATGATAGTGAGAAAAAAAGAATCCCAGAACACTTAATTGTGTTCATAGGGAACCTGTACATGGACCAAGAACAAGCTATTTTAATAGAAAAGGATCTATTATTTTAAAATAAAGAAAGCTAAAAAAAAAAATTAAAATCAGGAAAGCTATGTCTCAGGGTTACATCCTCTTACGATACCCATCCAAGTATGTATTCTGAGCACATACTCCACGAAGTTGGACTACGTGACAAAAGAAGAAAAATATGACCTCTGGGTTGGAGGAAGATTTATACCCAACCTTGCTTGCTCAAAGTACAATGGACTTGAAGTACTTAATAAAAGGGATCAAAAACTATAGTCTTCAGTATGGATTATACTTCACAAAACAAAAATTCTTACCACGGGACCAATAGCAGCATAATAGGTGGAGAAAAGATTGACGGTGTCAAGGATTTGACTTTAATTGGTTCTACAATCAACACCCATGTTAAGAGCAGTCAAGAAATCAAAAGATGTGTTGCAATGGGAAAATCAGTTCTCAAGGACTTCTTTAAGGTGCCAAAGAACAAGGATGTAAATTTAAAGACTAAAGCATGCCTGACCTAAGCTATACATTTTCAGTCGCATTATATGCACGTGAAAGTTGGACAATGAATAAGAGAATGAAGAAGAGCCAAAGCCTCTGAATAATAATGTCAGCAAAGAGTATTAAATATCCCACAGATTGTCAAAAGAACAATAGCCGCCATGGAAGAAGTTCAGTCAGAGTGCTTGAGAAACAAAGATGGTGAAACTTTCACACACTTTCTGTATGTTTTCTCCAGTCCTTCGTAAAAAATATCATAGTCGGAAAACTAACAGCTCAGTAAAGGAGAGGAAGGCCTTCAAGGAGATAGGTTATATTGCTGCTGTTATGTGGCATTGAGTCAACTACGACTCATAGCAACCCTGAAAACAACAGTTCTGAACATTGTCCAATCTCGTGCCATCCTCTGATACACTTTAGCTCACTCTTACAGTCACTGTGTCATTCCATCTCATTGAGGGTCTTCCTTTCCTATATTGATCTTCCATCTTCCCAAGCATGGAGACCTTCACCAAGGACTGGCCCCTCCTTACAACATGCCCAACGTATGTGAAACTCAAAGTATCAAGGAAATGAGCTGACAAAATGACTAGAACAATGGGCTTAAGCACAGAGAGATTGTGAGGATGGTGCTGGAACAGGCAGTGTTACATTTCATCATACATATGGTCACCATCAGTCAGAGACGACTGGATGGCACCTATCAATAACACAAACATATTAATGAAGGGGGGGAAAGAATTATCTCTTTTTTCATGTAAAAGTTAAAAATGGAAAGATTTCATAAAAATTGGGTTTTCAGAAATGACAAAGAACTAAAATAAGTATCTCTTAGATTCCCTAGGGAAACTAAGAAATACCTGGATATTTTATTAAAGCAGCTGGGTTTAGGAATTCTAGTGGAAGGAAAAAAAAATATTTAGGAAGGAAGACAGACCTAAACACAAAATTGACAATTTTATCTTCAAAACCAGTGAAGGAACAAGAAGAGGTGCACTGGAAAGACTAGAATCAGTTATAAAATGTATGTTCGACACTTCCTGTCTTTTTCTCCATGTTAACTATCTGTTCAATCCTATCTACCCTTTCTAGTCCCACTAGGATAAATTTTATCTCAAACTAATCTTTTTTTTTATTTTTTTTTTTTTTTAATGTGTGTACCGTCAAATTGGATCTGACTGGTACAGGAGGCGATTGATTGTTCCTCCTTCTTCAGCAGAGCATCTGGTGGATTTGAACCGCACACCTCTGGGATTACAGTGCCGTTTCCTGCCACTAGACCACCAGAGTTCGCCCTTTTTTCTTTTTTTTTATTCTTGTAATTTTTTTTTAATGTGATCTCAAACTAATCTTGACTAGGGCAAAAGACAGGTATAGTTCAGAAGTAGTTTGCAAATTGTATGCTTTCAAGTCAGAACCAACTCAGAGCTGACCCTCCGTCAGGGAGGAGACTGCTCATCTTTCTCTCCAGAGGAGTAGCTAGTGGATTTGAGCTGTGGACCTTTGGATTTGCAGTGCAGCTCCTTGTCACTAGGCCACCAGAGTTCCCTATTTAAGAGCAAATACCATCAAAATGTAGTACTACATTATTTTATACAATTGTTATTATTCTTTAACTCCGTTTTACTCTAGAAAGACTAGAAGTAATAAAACATCAACTGGAATGAATTAAGTATTATTTTAAAACTATTTTAAAGAAAGCTCTGGAGGCCCAGTGGCAAGAAGCTACACTGCAATCCCAAAGGCACCTGGTTCAAATCCACCAGATGCTCGTGCCAGTTGGATCAAACTTGATGGTACACAACAAGGAAAAAAAATATTTTAAGAGTTTATTAATTCTTTTAACCAGATCTCTAAAATTATCTGCAGACAACTTAGACAGCAAATACAGTTGCTTCCTTGTTGGTTTGCAGAACTTAAATTTTCAAATCCAATGTTCCTTCTCTAGTTTTAATTTTAAATTTTTTACACATAAGATTGTGACTCAAAAGTATTTTTTTCCTGAAAGATCTATCTTTTATAATAACATAAAGGTATTATATATTAGCAGGCGACTTGATGGCACAAAACAATAAAACTTTAAAGTATATAACAGCATAAAGACATTGAGCACACCAAAAATTGTGTATTTTCTAATCCTATCTTATAAAAATTATTCCTAAAAAAGTCATAAAAGATTTCATGAGAGACTGACAAACACGCTGCAAACAGGAGACGCCAGGTCTGCTTTGGAGTCTGAAACCTAAGAGCATCTACAACCCAAAAGGGCAGAGCTTTCTTTCTTATTTCTTACTCTGGAAATTCCAAATACACACAATGACGTCTCAATTCTCTTCAAGGGATCCTAAACGTTTGAAAACATTCCCTATGAATTTTTTCCCCTATTATAAAGGGTATTTACAAATTAAACTCTCCTCTAGAATTCCAGTCTGCAACATACATACATCTGCAGTCACACATTCTATAATAAACATGTTAGTGGTAAACGAATTGGGGGGAAGATTATCTTTTAAAAAGATTAAGCTACATGGCTCTGAATGAAAGCATTCGAAATATAATGCTGGACAGATTTCTATCTCTAGCCAGATAATTTTGGAAGGTCAACAAATCAACAAATCTCGATATATATCATACGTACATATATATATACACACACATACACACAGAGTATACAAAATATAAAGTTCTTTTACTTACGGAAAAAATCCTTTTTCACCAAGTTTTTTGCACAGAGTACTGTAAAGAAAACAAACACATACAGGAAAAATTAAAATAAAACGTTACGACTCCATTGGCATAAGTTACACTTTAAAACACTGAAAAATAAATTAATAATTCACTTCACTATACTAGGAAATAAGACTACAAACTAAAAAACAGCAAACAGCTGAACCAGTATATGCAATCTTATCAATGATTAACAGTAATAGCCAAAGACAAGAAAGTTGTTAAGTTTTGTGTTCTACAAAGAATCTAATTCCTATCTTCTCTCAAGATCTACTGTCACAACAGTTCAATGGTAACGGGAAAGTAATTCTAGAATTAAATATAGAAAATAAATTGTTATATAGCTATTTTAAGGATAAAATTGTTTTATAATAAGAATAAAAAATAAGAGAAAATAAAGTTTTTCTGATATAGATAAAATTTTTATGTATTCATTTATTCATTCATTTTATGTGTGTACCGTCAAATTGGATCTGACTGGTACAGGAGGCGACTGCTCCTCCCTCTTCAGCAGAGCATCTGGTGGATTTGAACCGTGCACCTCTGGGATTGCAGTACAGTTTCCTGCCACTAGGCTACCAGAGCTCAAGATGAAATTTTTAAAAACAACTTTCTGTTACTTCATTTCCATCTAAGTGTCACAGAAACCTTACGGGAGTGATAAATTATCTTGTCCAAAATCATGAGCTCAATGACAAGACAGGCTTGCTGTATCTATAAAGAACTAAAATTATACATAAGCTAAATGTCCCAATTCCACATTTTCTAGATTATCCTGTGTTAAATCACTATTCATATGATGATGACTGCACAACATTGTGAATAAAAACCAGTGGGATAAATTTTTTAACAGTTAAGTTATATGTTAGTAAAAAATTACTACTTATAAGAATCATAAGCTTAAACATCTTTAAACTTGATATAACTAACGGAAGAAAATTAACTGTCATATAGTTTATGAAATGTCTAGGACTGAAATGATAGATTCATGCAGTTCAAATGGTCCATTAGTTGCAATTATTGGAAGTTTACTGCCTAAAAGTGTGTTTAACACGTCTTTGGAACATGTTTAAATACACTCAATTATGTTAGGTACAAAAAAAATCATTCTCAAGACAGAAACCATCAGTAAATAAAATTATTAAGTAAACACAAGCTGCCAATTTACTAATCCCAGATGAATACTTTGTATACCATGGACTGCCAAAAAGAACAAACAAATCCGTATTGGGAAAAATGAATGAAGTCAGAGGGCTTCTTAGAAGTGATGATGGGGCAATTTTGTTTCGCATACTTTGTACATGTTAAAGATATCATGCTTGGAAAACCAAAGCGTCAGTGAAGGAAAGGAAGATCTTCAATGAGATGGACTGTCGCAGTGACTGCAACAATGGATTTAAGCATAACAGAGATTGTAAGGCTGGTGTAGCACAGGATGGGGTTTCATTTTGTGCACAGGAGTGTGCTGGGTCAGAGCCAAGTCAACAGCACCTAACAACAAAATGTTCCCTATCTGGTGGACTACCAGAAGAAAAACAAACCTGTCTTGTAAAAAGTATAGTAAAAGATGCACTGCAAAGTGGACTGGGTAGGAGGGTATAGGAGGGGGAGGAAGGAAAATTTTCAACAATGAATGAATATTTTACAAAAAGGAAAAAAGTGAACCAGGAAAGGTGGAAAGAAGGGAGAGGGAGAAAAACTGCAACAACGAATGCATGGAAAGCCAACTTTTCTATTAATATCACAATAAAGTGTGTGTGTGTGGTTTTGTTAATTGTTGTTGTTGTTGTTTTAAAGTACAGTCAGAATGTTCCTTAGAAGTGGATGAGGAACAGTCAACCGTGGCCTTTAAGCTAGGAGATGTTGTGACACCACTAGTTCCAAGCAGATCTGAGCTGCAGACAGAATGATAAAGTTGGTTTACAACTACCATCTGGGGAAGAAGGTCTGCATTAAGTACAATACTGATGACATCACTGGAGATCTTAAGAAGCTGATCGCAGCCCAAACTGGCACTCACTAGAACAAAATTGTCCTTAAGAAGTGGTTCACCATTTTCAAGGGCCATATGTGTTTGAGTCACTATAAAATCCATGATAGGATGAACCTGGAGCTTTATTACCAGTAAGGCAGAATACCTTCCACTTCTATCCTTCCCTGCAGATGGCACAACCCTGTCTGCCGAAACTGAGGAAGACCTGAAGTGCTTGCTGCAGAAGGTTAAGGACTGCAGCCTTCAATATGGATTGAAGCTCAACATCAAGAAAACAAAGATTCTCACCCCTGGACTGACTGGCAGCATCACGACAGACAGTAAAGAGACTGAGATTTAGGTTGCTTGGCTCCACAGTCAACACTCTTGGTACCAGCAGCCAGGAAATCAAAAGGTGCATTGCATTGGGAGGGTCTGTTGTCAGGGACATCTCCAGAGTACTGAAGAGCAATGACATCAGTCTGGAAACTAAGGTGCACCTGACCCAGGCCATGGTCTTCACAATTAAGTGCTATGCAGCAGAAAGCTGGACAATGACTAAAGATAACAGAAGGAGAATTGATGTCTTTGAGCTGTGGTGCTAAAGAAAAGTACTGAATATACCACAGACTGCTGGGAGAACAAACAAGTTCATCCTGGAGAGAGTGAAACCAGGCTGCTCCTTGGAGGCAAGGATTCTGAAGTTCTGTCTGACATGTTGCAAGGAAGGACCAGTCCTTGGAGAAGGATATCACGCTTAGGAGGGTGGAGAGACAATGCAAGAGAAGACGACCCTCAATGAGATGGACTGACTCAGCGACTGGGGTAACGGAGAGAGATGTGTCGGAGACACCAAAGTTGGCTCAGGATAGAGCAGTGTTCAGAGATGTTGTACACAGGGTCACTATGAGTCGCAGGCGACATGACAGCACATAACTATTACCCTTCCCTTCTTCCCCCACTGCCCTCACTGGTATGGAACCTTGTTTTTATGAACTCATATTAATAAAAGCTTAGATGCTGGGGCGAGAACAATAGAATAGGATGACACTAGGACATAAGTCTTACACATGATCAGAAGAGACTAGTCCCTAGAAAAGGACATATGCTTAGTAAAGTAGACAATCAGCAAAAATGAGAAAGACCATCAAAGAGGCCAAGTGACACAACAGCTGCTACAGATTCAGGCAGGGTTTCCTTCGCTTGTACCAGGGTTTGCCATGAAGGAGAACTCAGAACCCACTCGATGGCATCAACAATTAACAGCAGAGTCTCTAAAAAGGGCCCTGTCATGAATGGTTGAATGCCTGAGTCCACCAGTCATCTATAAGAAAACAATGTGGCCATTTGCTTCCCTAAGAGGACAGCCTTGGAAACCTATGGAGCAGTACTATTCTGCCCAGAAGGGCGACTATGTGTCACAACTAACTCAGCAGCCAACTGTTTCAGAGTCTTTTAGGTGATGTCTTATAAATAAGTTTTGTTTTTAAGAACATAAAAATTAAAAACAAGGCTATAACTAAGAATATGAAATCATAAACCTGATTTAGGGTTCTTCCAAATTTCTGTTAAACCCAACTGCAGCTGAGTCAATTCTGACTCACAGTGATTCTCCACCGTAAATCTCTTTGGGAGGCACTGCTCATCTTTCTCCCAAGGAATGACTGGTTGAGTTGAATCACTGGTTTTTTAGTCAGTAGCCCAACACACTACATCAGGTTTTGTTATCATCATATAAACTGAATAGAAGCAAAGATTCTTACTTGTAATTTTGAAATGGAAGCTTTTCATCTATTACCTGAGAATAATTTTACTTACATAGATAGAGAAAAGATTTTTACACCTTTGAATCATAACTGCACTAGTGTTTTTGGAGCGTATGATGAGGACCAAACCCTTTCTTTAAATTCTCAGGACCAATTATAAGAGTTCAGTAAATTAATGAATTTCAATATGACAAATTATGTCATCACAATAAATTCTCAACAAGGAAGGTCTGTATCTAAGTATCATGGGAATACAACTAAAATAATATAATACAACTTTATAGAAAAAAGTAAAACTAGCATTTAGTACTCAAAACTATAGAAAAAGAAAACAAAGCTAAGATTGGAAATAGCGGTTCAGGGAAAACGTAATGCAGAGTTCTATGTTTGTTTTCTAAATGCTTTTAGGGATAGAGGGGAAAATAATACTGCAAAACACATGCCTAAGATACAGTAAAGGACTAGTGGAAGAAAAACTAGTAAAGTGGATGAAGCCTGAACAAGGCTAGGTATGCATTATCTCCTTGACACCATCATTCTTTTGCTATCTTGACTATATACTGGAATTAATATGTAAGGAATACAGTAATATAATAGTAAATAATTTGGTAGTAAGTATATAATTCTTTAAAATCTAATGAATTTTTACTGATTTTTTTTAAATAAACATTACATTGGATTCTAGCTATTTAGCTAGAGTCAATTAAATTTTAGCATGAATCAATTCTGATGAGTCTTGATTTATGAGTTAATGTAAATACCCCATCTGTTGTTTGTTGTGCTGTGGTGGCATGTGTGTTATGATGATGCTAGAAATTATGCCACTAACATTTCAAGTGCCATTATGGTCACTTATTATAGGTAAATTTCAGTAGAGTTTATAGACAAGACTAGGAATAAAGGCCTGGTACCCTACTTTCAAAATTTAAAAAATGGAAACACTATGGAATGCAACAGAACATTATCTAATAAAATGTTGAAAGATAACAGACAATAGCTACCTCAATGAATTTAAATATATCAACAATTATGAATACGGTGCAAGATGAACAAAATTTTGTTGTTGTGCATACAGTTGCCAAGAATTGTCACCAACTGAACAGCAACCAACAATAAACATAGTATTACACCAGCACAGCTGCTATTATCAAAGTGATCCCAAAAGAGTAGAATTTGGGCTCAAGGCATACAATTTTTACTAATTAAACTACACTATTATTTGATTTTAAGAAGATTTTAGGGAGAAGGGTTCTGGTTTAAGGGTTGAAGAT